AGCCATCCATCCATCCATTGTGTCAAGCACATTTGTACATTTGTTGCCATCATCATTCTCAAAACATCTGCTTTCTACTTGAGCCCTTGGTATCAGCTCATCATTTTCCCCACTCCCTCCCCGCCCCACCTCCCTCACGAACCCTTGACAATTTATAAATTATTATTTTGTCATGTCTTACACTGTCCAACGTATCCCTTCACCCACTTTTCAGCTGTCTGCCCCCCAGGGAGGGGGTTATATGTAGCTCCTTGTGATTGGTTCCCCCTTTCTACCCCACTTTCCCCTTACCCTCCTGGTCTCACTACTGTCATTATTGGTTCTGGGGGGTTTATCTGTCCTGGATTCCCTGTGTTTCCAGTTCTTATCTGTACCAGTGTACATGCTCTGGTCTAGCCAGATTTGTAAGGTAGAATTTCCGCGGATCCTGATAGTGGGACGGAGGAAGCATTAAAGAACTAGAGGAAAGTTGTATGTTTCGTTGGTGCTTGTCTCCCTAGTCGCCTACAGATGGGCTTTAGGTCTCGACTCCGCACTCCCCCTCATTCACAATGATATAATTTTTTGTTCTTTGATGCCTGATACCTGATCCCATCGACACCCTGTGATCACACAGGCTGGTGTACTTCTTTCATGTGGGCTTTGTTGCTTTTTTTTTTTTTTTACTAATTAAAGATTTATTGCATAAGAATCCACTTGATAATTCAAAAGAGAAATATCAGTTCAAAGGCAATGACAGATCCCATTAAGGGAGGAGGGGGTCTAGAATCAAATACTAATAGCAGGTAAAGGCTTGTGTGGTGAAGTCACCAATAGGAGACACTTCATAACTGCTTGATTATAATGTTGATTGGAGATTATCAAAACACTCAAAGACATCACAGGTAATCAAGTACAGTATAGGGAGACCATTCAGCCAAGAAGAGGGCTATTCCTTCTTTGGGTCTTTGAGGGTACTTATCCACGGCACAGCACAGAAGGTATGTGCATGTGTGTGTGTGGCAGGGGGTGATATTCCCTATTTCCCTATCTCATCCTGCAGGCTCTCCGAGAGAGGCAGGACTCAAAGCATCAAGCTCGGGCATCAAGGCACGCTAGTGGAGATGGCACTCAGGCCCAAAAATCCAGGGGTAGCGGAAGGGGAAGGAAGAGGTAGAGGAAGAGGAGCTCCGGCCAGGGGTGCTGGAGGGGGACGAGGGGAAGCTCTCACCATAGTGCCCAGAGAGAGGAAAGATCCTGCCAGGAGGAGAGGGTGAGGAGGCCCGCAGGCCGGGATGCCAATCTTGGGCTCTGGGATCAGGAACATCCGAAAGCTCTGCGTCGGCCCCACTTCCTTGAACAAAAACGTTAATTGATAAAGGATGACGCTGGCTGGCCGGCCCGGGTGGAGAAGGAAAGGCTGATCCTCGTTGGGTGCCACGACTTGGCAAGTGCAGGCCTGGCGTCACCACGTGGCTCTGAGAAGATGGCGGGCTACCGACCGTAGGCCCGGATGTGGCGACGCTCCTTCGGCGGGCGGGCAGGGCGATGTTGCGGCCGGCCCCGCGGTGGGGGATCGCTGCCGAGGGAGCCGGCGGCCTGGCGCTGGGACTCCCGTCCGGCGTGGCCGCGAGGCTGCTGAGCGCGAGCCCGTGATCTGCTGTGACTTCAGAGGGTCGGGCCTGACGAGCCGCTCCGACTGGGCTGAGGCCTGGGAGAAGATGGCGGCGGTGAGGAAGCCTCAAGAAACAGGAGGCGTTTTGCGGACCTCGGGAAGGCGCCTCCCGGGGCGGCTGCTTCTTGCCGGCTGGCTGGTCCCGGGCCCCTCGTTAGGCCGTGGACGCCCCCCGGCCGGG